CTGAACTTGCTGGAAGCAGCAGAAAAGACAGTAGGTTTTGTGCAGTAGTAGTGCAGTAGGTTTTGCTGGTAGGGAGCTGTCAGTACCGTTCTCATCATTCCCACTGTTTGCTATCCTTTGTCAAACTGCTTTGCTCTCCTGTGAATGGGATCAAACTTGACCCAGGTGTATACATAGAAGGGAGGGAGCACAGGTTACACACTAGTTCCCCTAAAGAGACCCCGCACAGACGTCTGTCTGTGTGCGTGCCTTGATAAGTGTGCTAAATGCACACTCTTTAGAAAAGCTCCAAACATGAAAAAAGGGCAGAAAACAACAACCCGAAAAAAAAAAGAAAAAGAAAGAAAAAAGCACTCGACAACACAATAGAGTTTCCCACAATGGGCTTCTGAGTCTGGAAAATTAGAAAGTACAATGATGCACACAGCGCACAATGGCCTAACAAATTGCTCATTTGTGTTTGAAAATACATCTCTTTTTGAGCGCTTCTGTCAGAGGAGCCACACAGTGACAGATTATGTGTAGCTGTCATCCGCCGAGAGAGTTCGAGTTCAAACCAAACGTAACATCAGTTCTTTCTTCTTGCTTTTTTTTTTTTTTAGAGACGTGTTGGTGGTGAGTGCTGCTGCTTCAATCTGAAGAGCTGGAATCAATGGGGTTGTAACAAAGTGCTCAGTGAATTTATTTCTTACAAATATCTCAGGGTTTATTACAGATTGTACAGAATTTAAACACTAGTTGTTGAATAGATAGAGAATGTTCAAATTTAGCTAATTTAATCCAAATAAAACAGTAAAGGTCAAACAGTAGATCATAGAGAGGAAGGGACGCAGCACAATTCAGACACTGCTAAAAAAATAAAGGGAACACTCAAATAAAACATGCTAGATCTGAATCAATGAAATATTCATCTTGAATACTTGTTGTACAAAGTTGAATGTGCTGACAACAAAATCACACAAAAATCGTCAGTAGAAATACAATTTATTACCCAATGGAGGCCTGGATTTGGAGTCACACTCCAAATCCACTGGAGTCCAACTTTGATTTAATGTCGTTAAAACAGGTCAAAATGATGCTCAGTATTGTGTGTGGCCTCCACGTGTATGCCTGTATGACCTCCCTACAACACCTGGGCATGCTCCTGATGAGGTGGTGGAGCATCAGTCAGTGTTCAACAACTCCTAGACAGTCTGTGATGGATCGAGACATGATGTCCCAGATGTGCTCAACTGGATTCAGGCCTGGGGACCAGTCCATAGCTTCAGTGCCTTCACAGTGCCTTATATATATATATATATATATATATATATTAGTGCTGTCAATCGATTAAATTTTTTTAATCACGATTAATCGCATCAATGCCTAAGTTAACTCGCGATTAATCGCATTTTAATCGCAAATTTTTTTTCTGATTGAAAATCATTTAAATACTCTCGATGACATACAAAAAATACATACAGGCTAGGTTTGTGCCGATGTTCTTTTTTTTTTTATGAAAACAGGTCACAGACACTGATTTATGCCATAGAAACATATGGCAAGAAGATGGGGAGGCATGTAGCAAAAAATAAATATGTAGGCAAAAAAAAAGGCCCTGAAAACAGACTGATGTAAAAGACAGTCTTTACAGTTAATACAGTCTTTTGAACAAAGACAAGCATTTTACCCTACTGCTATAAAATGTAGTAGTTAACATTAGATGTTCATTAACCAAGGTAATAATGAACAATTTTCAATCAATACATCAAAATCAATAGACCGACATCACTGGATGGAGGTAGTCTATGCTCTAGAAAGTTACTTTTCAGCCTCTTAACAAAAATGAGAACACACACACACCCACCCACCCACCCACACACACACACACACACACGATACTGACCTGTGGCGTACACAGACAGCAAGAGTGCCGTAGCAGATTCCATTTCACCTCACTAATCTGTTTTCTCAGCGTATTTCAGGTTGCTACTAGGCACCAGACACTCAACTTGTTTGTTGGTGGTGGGGCTTAAAGAAAAGGCACTAGCGCTACCCAGTGTATGAGCGTCTTTTTTCCTTGAGGAGCTCCGCTCTCGAAGCCTATGGAAAATGCATAGACTGGGGGAAAATAGCCCCGCCTTCCCGCAGGCTGCAGCGGGATGTACTTGGAAAATTGTACCATAAAACCACATAGCGTTAATCTAACGTTAAAAATATTATTAGCTCTCCAGTTCTGGACTGAACTGTTTCAAGCTTAGGGTGAGACACATTGTCCATCACTGATGATAGCTGGGGTCAGATTTGATTACAGGTCCAAACATGAAGCCCAATTATTACTAGTGTTGCACCGATACCGATACCAGTATCGGACGGGGCCCCGATACTGCCCTAAAATGGTGGTATCAGTATCGGCGAGTACCAACAAATAGGGCACCGATACCATTTTGAGAGCCATAAGTTTATTCAACTATTGTCACCCACTCCTGGTAGGCAATAAAAAGTTCTATTGGATTCAATTTGTATTAGATTTTTTCCTGCTTCACAAAGGTAGGCAGCAGCTTGACAAAGCCATGATGGCAATTATTTTACATTATTATGGTATCGGTATCGGCCGATACTGCACAGCCATGTATCGGGTATCGGTATCGGGGCCAAAAAATGGCATCGGCGCAACACTAATTATTACCTGACTATATCTAAAGGATGAAGGATTATGTTGATGACAAAGCATACACGACTATCCTTTTGAGCATTTGTTTTTGTTTTTAAAAAGCTTAAACATATGTACACCAAGATCTGGAAGTTCTTCTTCACAAACACCCAGTTGTAATATTATTTGAGCATTTACCCACATTTAGAGTCAAAACAAATACATGCAACATATAAACTAAAAAATAACCTAAACCAGACTAAACATTCCCTGTTTTGGGTCATTTACATATGATAAATGCCAAAATCATGTGGTATTATTTTTTTTTAAGTTTTTATAACTTTAAAGTCAACTGGTTGCATAGATAAAGAAAAGATGACTTTTAGACAACGGGAATGCACAGTTAATGATCCCTTTCAAATGTCTAATAAAGGAATTTACAACTTTTTGGTTAAGTTACTCCTGTAGGTGTATTTTAAGACAAAACCCCAAACACACTGCTTCTTTATATTACATCATACAAAAAAATCCATTATAATTACAAAACTAGAGTGTGTCACCCCCATCTATCGGAAAAAATATAATCTGCAAGTACAAACACCCGAGGAATTATCAGGTTCATTCTGCCTAGGAAGGAGGTTCTGTGTCACAGAGATACATTTGTTCTGGTGTATCTGTTCCAAAACAAAAGCAAGGATCCAGTGAAGATTTTTGATGAAATATGTAAGAGAAGATCATCATCTGCAGTGAAAAAAGTGTAAAATTCCTATAAGGTCTAAAAAAACCCCAAAAAAAATAAAAAAAAATAAAAAAACCAAAATGTCTTTAAAGAAATTTCATCAAACCAAACGTACAAAGAATGGGGGCAAGGGGCAAAATCCAACAAACCATTGTGAGGAACATGTGGAAAGAAACCAAAAAATATGTTTGACCCAGGTCACATAGTTTAATACCAAATATTGAATAAACGTATTTAAATGTTAATGAGCATTATCACATTATTCTGGCATTTACCAAACAGAAATTATTCAGGTCATTCTTACTAAAAATAGCAAAGCCCATAATATTATAGCAGAAAGCTTATAGAAGGAAGAAAACAAAGGTTACGTTTTTTTTAATGCAGATCATTATATGGCTTTAAGGCCTATAACTATTTCCTTTAACTGGTATTTATTTTCTTGAATACACAGAAATGTTTGTTGTTCAGGTTTAAAAAAATAGTAGTCATATGAATTTATATAAACGTTTAAGCAGTATAATTTACATAATATTTCTGTTTATGACAAACAAACCTTTTCTGATTGTCTGTTTTGCATTAATCTGAACTAAAATTAAAATCATATCTAAGAGATGAAAATACTGTAATTTCTTCTTAAGATGAGCCGTGCAGCAAATAAACACAGAAAAGGTCACACTTCAAATTAAATCTTTTGAACTAAAATGTTTTAATTGCTGCAGGGTGGCTGAGGTGCACCCTGGGCAGGTCGCTACTCCAGCAGATGAACACAAAAGAAACACACAGGAAAATAACCTCTCAGTCACACTCACACACCACCAGCTTATAAAACATGCATCCTGGTTTTAAATTTGCCACTTTCACTCTGTGTCAACATTGTTGACAACTGCAGATCCTTACGACCTTTATAATGAAGATGAACTAAAACTTCTAATTGATGTTTGTTCACACAGGATTTGTTATATTTTGTTCAAACAACTGAACTAAACTTGAGCCCAAATTTTATTTTTTGTGCATTGCTTAAACTAAGTGCACTTTGTTTGTATTTAATGTAAAACTTGTTTCGTTAAAGTGTACTATTACTAATTATATCACAGAAAACTTTAGAAAAGTTACTATAATTAACTTAATTCAGTAACTATAACTCATCATTCCAATTTTGCAAATGAGAAGTCGATTAAGCTCTGAAAAAGTCTGTAATCCACCTGTTTCTGTTCTACCCATCTGTTGATTGGAGACACTGTGCTGATAACAGAGCCAACTGAAATTCTGCTCTATTTTCACCTGAATTCACCCCAAGATTTGGCTCTAAAGGCTGACCTGCCTCTGATCCTTTAAAAAAAAAGAAAGAAAGAAAAAAAAGAATAAATCACGCATCCTGCCGTAGCCAAAAAAAAAATAGGTAACTATCAATTGAGTCAATATGTGTAGGAACTCTGGATCCTAAAATTCCCTTTATTTTCATTTTTTAAATTCTAAGTCCGAAGAGATAATGTGGATATTTTTTTTTCTTAGAGTTGGAGTGAAGAAGAGGAGGGTGAGTCTTGATGGGTGGGTGGGTTGTTAGGTGAGAGAAGGGGGTGACGTCAGGTCCTATCACGCTGACAGACCTCCTATTGGTCCAGTGGAAGCTTTTAAAAGGTCCGGGCAGCAGCGCACCGGAGGCTTGATCTCTGAGCTCCTGGCGCTCAGCGGCTCAGCGCTTCCTCCCGATCAGCGTAACACCGGAGCGGCGGACCGGCAGCAGCAGGTGAGCGTGAAATCTGACCGACTGAGGGGGGAAAGAGCGTGGAAATGTTTGGTGTTTGTTAGTGCGAGGGGGAAAAAATATTAGTAGATACGACTGTAAAATGTAAAAATTACTATTTACTGAACTGTTTAATTTCGCTTTAGGTAGAAATGAGGACGCAGCATATAACTGACCTGCAGCATATCAACAGGTAGGTTCAACTGCCTTGATGTGCATTTTAAAGAAGTAGATTTTCAGGTTGAACCCCCAAAAAAGCTCCTTACACCTATAAAAAGTACATTTTAATTGTCTTTTACTTCCAGTGACGCATATTGATCGTATTAAGAACGTATTCTAATGAATAGTAGGCTAATGGCCGCAGCAATTAGACCGTAAAGTAAAGTTCTTTATGTTGGGTCTCCTATAAGCAGCGTGGTCGCCGCGTCGTTACGGATTGACTTACAGCCTGTTCGGTTTCCTGGGGTCAAATGACAACAGCTCAGTGTTGAATGAGGTTCCTTTGCTCCACTCAAAGCGCGGAAAGAGAAGCTCTGCAATTGTTTTAACTGTTGATATCAGGAGTGTTGTTTGTTAAAAAAGAAATAAATAAATAAAATTGCGTTTTATTAGCTTAGTTTCCATCTGCGCATTCAGACCAGCGGGTAAAATTAATTTTCGCGTGAGCATTTAGCGGAGGTTTCAGCACCGGAGCGGTGGACAGCTCCGCGCATCTGCACTGCTGCCCCGCGGCAAGGACGCGGACAGGCGTCCTGACACCGGCTGAATCCCCAATACAACCCTGCAGGACAGCGGCGCACACAGCTGGAACGCTGCTCATCTCTCTCAAAACTGATTCAAGGGGCTCAAGCACAGCAGTGACAGCATGAAAGGTGTGAAGATGCATCATGCATATTATTCATTTTTGTTCCGGGTGATTCGTCTGTCTCCTTCTGGAAGGGGGTCTAGGGTGGCAAAATGGGAACTGGAGCGCATCCAGGATGCCATATTTACATACCCACCCTTCCTCCTCTTCTTCAATACATGCACCCACACGTACACGCACCAAATGTTGGAACACAGCACATACAATCTGTAGCAATGAGAGAAATTCAGTGCTAACAGGTGTTCAAACAGGCCGCTCTGAACATTCTTCCAATTATTGCAATTAAATGCTGCCTGGTTACCACTCCATAATGTGCAACTGCTGCTGTTGAGGAGAGTGCATCCATGTCTTTATGTGTGTGTGTGCAAAGAGAAAGGGAGGATGACACCGACAGACAGAAATAGAGAGAAAACAGCAGGAATGCGCATGAAAGAGTGGGTGCATTTGATGTTGCGATTGTTGCTTTATGTGGAGGATGGGGAGGAAAAAGCAAAGCAGTCTGAATTATATACTACTGAGTGAGCGCCCTCCGCATGCAAAACTAATCCTGTTTTTTTTCTTCTTTTTTTCTAACCCTGAGTCATTATCAGCTTTACCAGATTGTCTACAAACCAGTGGCAACAATTTGATTTTTAAATAAATACTTTAGGGAATAAAAAGTGTAACTGTGGAGATCGGTGTGTGTGTTTTACATCAACTGGTTGTGTCAATGTTTAACTGCACAGAATAGTGATCAGATAGATTAGAGCATCTTTATATGTTGATCATTTCCGCATCAATCTGTGCTGTATCACAAAGTGCTCCTCGAATGTTATGTTTGTCAGGTTTCTGTATGTTAATGTCAGGCATTTCATGAAAAAACTACAGTGGGCCAGTTTTGTTGGAGTTTGCTGCTTCAGAGGCTACAAACTGAAACAGACTTTAGTGGCACATATGGAGATATGTTGATGATGGAAAAACCAAGGTTGATTGCATTGATCTTTGCTACATTATAATGCAGTTTCCTGTTTATGGTAAATCCTGGTGGGAATATAACACTGCAGAAGCAAATCCATCCTGAATTACAGTTACAAGGGATCTGATCCACAGTAACAAACAGCTAAATGTGAAAATCTAAACAGCTTCAGGTGGTGTCTCTCTACCTTTGTCTTAAAACAAAATCAAACAACAGCTTTAAATGACACCCTCAAACAGAATAAAAAAACTGCTACTCCCTTTAATATTTTTGGAAATATCAGCACCCAGATCCTTTTCTGGTGACATTGCCTCCAGATTTGTTGAAAATTTCTGAGGCTACATATATTTGAGGGCTAAACAGAGGAATGATAAGATTCATAAGAGTCTGATCTGTGTGGTGTTTCATCACCAGCGACGAGGGGACATCTTGATTTGATGAGTGATTGAGTCGTCATACTGTAGAGCGACCAGAGGGCAATCACAGCGGCCGCAGTCTTATCAGGCCGAGGAGTAGAAAGGAAGATAACAGGGTGCCATAAAACGGGACAGCATGAGGGGGGGCCTCGGTGCAGGTGAGAGTAAATGTGTGTCATATTAAGCAGGGAGATGTTTGTGGCAGCTGTCAGCCTTGTTTGAACAGCAATCACAATCAGTGAGACAGCAGCCAAGCGTGTGTTTGTGACAGCGTTGGCGGAGGACTCTCTCCTCCCTGCACCTTCTGCTCTTCCACTCCTTCCTCCTTCTGTTCTCCTCTAACCTCCCCCTCGCTGAACATCCTCCTCCCTCCTGTTGCTTCCCTTTCTCCCACTGAAGTGACTGACATTACATCAGTTCCACCACAGTTGAGGCCAGATTGATTCTTCACTGTCTCGAGTCAACTTATTACAGCTTCAGATCTCTTTCAGTCTGACTTCAAAAAGCCTTCTTGTAAAGCCATGAAAACAAGGTGTCCCTGTTCTTCCGCCTTGGCCTTGAAAAGCTTTCGCTTCAATACTACCAGGAAAGAAAGGAATATGTGCAATGCTGCTGCAGGGTGAACTGGGATGGGATTGACACATATTTACTTACATTTCACTGATTCCCTGTGGAGGTTGGGTAGTTTCATCTGCAGAAGAGGTGATACAAAGAAGAACTTTAAATAAATTCTAAATTTGATTTATTACCTTAAAAATATAGTATTTATAGCAACTATAATTAATCTATATTTGTTCACTTTCTAAAAATATATATACATAATTAAATCATCACACAAGTAGAAACATTTTGCAATTAAACAGAGCCTGACAGATAATTTGCTAATGTCAAGAACTGTGTGGAATTTTTATTAAAAATGTAAAATTAAGAATGTTTATTGTTTCAGCATAAATACAGTAATATAAGCAGTTATCATTTTACTTTTTTCATGCATCACTACCCAAAACTACACTGCTCTTAGTTTTGCCTTCCAAAATTCTTAAAAAGAAAAAAAGTTACAGTTACATTAAATTCCAGGAGGAATGAGTTTTCTTCTACATATACATTAAGTATCTAAGGAGACATGATCTGAAAAAATTGACTTAAATAGATAAAACCGGATACAAACAACTGTCAAAATTGTATAAAGAAAAAACAATTGCTATAGCTTTTCTTTTTTTTCCCATACTGTAGCTCACCTTCACACTAAGTTCTCCCCCTCCTATCCAGCTTGGTTTATCTTCTGTTTTTCCCCTCCCCTCTTCTGCTTAGAAGAAAGCTTAATCTATTGTTTGACATGGCCTTTTCATTTGCTGGAGGGAACAGGCACAAAAGTGGAGCTGGTTGAGGATAGTAGATGAAAAGAAAAATGTTCAGGATGGATAGAAAAAGCAATAATCTTAAATAATTAGCATGTCTTGTATCATAAAGCTACATAAACTAAATCAATCAATTAATCTATCTATCTATCTATCTATCTATCTATCTATCTATCTATCTATCTATCTATCTATCTATCTATCTATCTATCTATCTATCTATCTATCTATCTATCTATCTATCTATCTATCTATCTATCTATCTATCTATCTATCTATCTATCTATCTATCTATCTATCTATCTATCTATCTATCTATCTATCTATCTATCTATCTATCTATCTATCTATCTATCTATCTATCTATCTATCTATCTATCTATCTATCTATCTATCTATCTACACGCTTTATCCCAATTGGGGTCGCGAGGAGTGCTGGTGCCTATCTCCAGCTGTCTACGGGCGAGAGGCGGGGTAGACCCTGGACAGGTCACCAGTCCATCGCAGATATATATATATATATTTATTTTTTTTTCTTTCTTTTTTGACAGAACGTGTAAAGGATTAACTATATTTCATCTCTTGTTTTACAGAAAGGAGTTGGCTAGACAGCAAAGATCAATTTGTTTGGACCAAAACACTAATATTAGGATGATAAAAGCACTTGTGTTACTAATACATTTTCATTGGATGCAAGTTAAAGTATTTTAACTTTTATTTAGAAACCTCTGATATCCTATGCAGTACATAAAAAATCCTTCTATAAAAATGTGAACAGTATATGAACATTAATTATAGCACAATTTTTGCCACTAAATACTGTAAAACAAACAAACAAAAAAACATATACAGCAACAAGGCATACAATATTGCCTGTAAACAGAAGATAAAGTTTCATTTCTAATACTGACAAAACTATAATAGTTCAGCTTTGCATACAGCATTACCTTTAGGAGCTTAACTAATACTATTCAATATGGAGCATTTAATGCAATTAAAAACAATTACCACTGAGGCTACTTTTCTCTCCTGTCACTGACTCAAATAATCCACCTTCCTGGTCCAGATAGCGCTTATCATGGTGACCGCAGCCATACTTCTGCTGTACTAGTATGAGGCATATTTAGTTTGTGCCAAGATTTTTAAGCTTGAATGTCCCCAGTGGACCTGTGATTCCACTTGATTGTCAGATATAAAGGTGTACAAGAAACAGGGAGTACCAAGGTTACTGCTTGGGACTTTAGCACGTATATAATTAATTGCTTTAATTTTTTTACCATGCTAAAATGTTTCTAAAAAATTTATTGAAAAAATAACATCGTTAAAGTTAATCTAATCTATAAATTGGATTTAAGGAGCCAAACTGAAGAAGTGGGCCTCCATGACCACTCAGTGACAACCAGATCCACTCGATAGTTAAAATACATCCAATTTTAACATTGGCTGACAATTAAGTGATATGCTATAGATTTCTGTTAGCTAACAGACCTTTGTAGTTAACAGAGCTTTGTTGTCCTTCTTATTGTCAATCATACTGGTGATACGTTTGCGTGAGGTTGTCCTCCGTGCTCGTCCCCATTTTCACTTACCGGTGGTGAGTCTGACATAATGGAAGAACTGCAAATCTTCTTTTGGAAAGTAATCTCATATGAGCGATGCAAACAGCAACTTTAAAACAGAGTGTGTACGCATGCTCTCACATGCGTTTATAGGTGTTCCCTCTCGGGAGCAGGTACAGGGTTTTGCATGTGCATTTACATTTTTAAAATAGAGAGGGTGGGTCTTTTCAAAAATTTATGATAATCCTCCACTATACCTTTAAGTATTTTTATGATTTAGGGAAATACTGTAAATAACCATGGTCTAAATGCTTGGCTTTATTGATTTGCACTGATTCTGCATGGCTTCCTATTTCCACTGATTGTGGACCTAATCCTGGTTTGGACCAATTCCAGTTATTTTGGTCAAACCAACATAATATATCTGATGCTTTTTATTATTATTATTATTATTTGTTGAAAGCCTCTGAACACTTACCTCTTTGGAACTATAACTCATTTGATAAAAAAAAAAATAAAAACATGGTAATGTAATATGTACCTTCTGCTGTTGAGGGAATATTTTTTCCATGATGTAGGGGATTATTGGAGGGTACTGAGCAATTACAATTCATCAAACCTTCCATCCTTCCAGAACCCTTGCCAAAAACACAATGTATTTTAACAGTTACGCACATAAGGTCAAACTAAACAATGCTAAATAATGAAAATAAAAAGATACCAAACCCAGAGAATGGACTTTTCTCAATCCAAGGATTTAAAGACCTTTATCTTCACTTTTCATCCTGCCACCAGGCAAAATCTGTATCTAACAGAATTGCTAAAAAGGATTAAGAAAAAAAACATATTTTTTTGTCTAGCATAATTAAAACTCAATAAATCATACCTTTAAATCAGGCTGTCATTCTAAGCTTTGGCAATGCTTTGAATTATTATCATTAAAATAAGGATGGAGAAATTCATAATCATCTGGCTACCATTAAAAGTGTCTTTTTTCAGATTAGCTTGTCATATGGCGTAATGATGAAGAAATGCCAATTACTTTCATGTCTTCTTTTATGTTGTTGTTTATTGATTAGACATCTGGAATTCCATCTTGAAATTAAGCAGATATGTGAAGCCAACAAATTACTTCAGATTTTTTTCACCACAACGATAAGCAACTTAAATCCACTCTTTTAAAATACTGTAATTTAAATGCTATGCAAAAATTTTCAGGTAATATGCTATACTAAGCTAAAGCGAATACATTAATTAAATCCTAGACTGACAGATGGTGTGAAGTCATACTTGTAATGAGTGGAAAAGTAACAGCAGTGACAATGGCGAGTGGTGCAGGGATTGGAGCAACCTAATAGATGAATGAGCAGAAGTCTATTTGCACTTTATCTTGTTTGAACGACTGCCTGATGAGATCAAACTGTGCGGGACCGATTTCTGCTCACACAGATAGACCCGGATAGTTCTCTCATGACCCCCTTCCCCTTGTCTGGGTTTCCTCATCATCCATTATTTGTCAACCAACGGTGCTGATGTGCTTCCTTTTTTTCCTGTGCTGATGTGATGGAAATGAATTAAAAAGGAGAGAAAGAGGCTCTGCTGTACTGCTCATTACACGCAGGTTGTGAGTCATGATTAGCTTGTGAAATAAAGGACATTGCTGTGTGTTCACAGACAACGTATAACATCTGTTTTGTCAGGCTTCCCCTTCTGCACAAAGATAAGAACGGATTTATTTAAACAACATCTAAAAATGACTTTCAACATAAAAGAAGGAAAAGTTAAACTAATAAGAAATGTACTTTAGTTTTTAGGAGTATAAATGCTTTATTTGCTTAACTAATTTGGTATTTTGTCATATTGCAAAATACAAACATGATGTGTTATTTGAAAGTTGTACAGTATTTAATACACATAAATAGCAAAGGGCTTAAATATAAGATTTATTGGCTAATTTATAAGATTTTGGCGAGAAACACACCAACTAACAAACATACAGCTTTACTGAAAATCCTAAACTTAAAATAGATTCGGAGCATGTCACTGAATTACTCTCAGAATAACCAGACTGGAGAAAATATAATTAACTTCGCCATTTATCAAGACACTACAAAACCATTTATTTATGATTTAATTTATGCAGAGAGGCCTGTATCCTGCATCTGTAGGCATGAAATTAACCCAATACAAACAACAGACATAATTTCCATTTCAATGCTTCAAACCTGCACAGTGCACCTGAAGCACAAACCAGAACTTACAGGGAAGAACAGCACTTACAGTACTGGATGTCTTAATTGGTTACCGTTCACATCACAGTGTCATAGAAAGGAGTTTAAAAGAGAAAGCTCACAGAACAGCGTGCATCATTGTTCATGTTTGATTCCATTTCAATGCTCTCATTTCTATCCCGCTTTTCAGGCTATAGAAAATGTAACAGCACCCACCATTATGTCTTTCTGCGTGCAGACTCGTTCGCCTATTTTTGTGTGAATGACTGCTGTAGTTGACTATTCACGTTTCTTTCCAAGGTCGGCGCACAGTTCTCAAGTGAGAGGCAAAACGCTTCCTCGTCCACCTGCACACTGTGAGTAACTGTTAGCATGTCGGCCATCTGCCGCCTCGGTTTTTTCCCTCCACACATCGCATGGTGAAGTGCTAAAAGTCAGGCTATGTGTGTGTTTATTTTTTTCTGAATGTGAGACCTCCCAATGCACGTTTCTTCAAGTGTGAAGTCTGTTACGAGTCTGCATGCAGGTGTAAAACCTGGTGTGCACTGACAGCTTCATTAAACGTACGACTTCAGCTGGTTTGTGTGATTTTCTTCTTCTTTTTTTTTTTGTTTGCTGTCTCTAAAGTGCATGCGTGTGTGCCTAACTCCTTCAAGCATGATGCGTGTGTTTCCTGAGTTTTTCCCTGTGCCTGTATATGTGTGTTTATAATCCAAGGCCATTCAATAGCACCACATGGATCCATCCCATATCCTGGTCGCCATGGTTACCGAGGCCACTTATCACAGAGGGTCCAGGCAGATCAAACAGGTGTGCATCTCTGCTCGACAACTGTTGCTAGGAACCTTTGTTGCGCAAAATGCACAGGTGCTTGTCACCACTGGTGAAAACCAGCAGGAGCGCAAAAACATTGTCTTGTTGTCCCAGTCTGAACTGGTGTGTGTGTGTTTGTGAGCGTGGTTTTTTGACATGAAGCCTTTGTTCGGCACAGTTTGACTTCTTCTGAGAGGATTTCTTTTATGTCATGTATCTCTGTGGGTCATCACTTCATCAAGATTCTTCATGAGGTCATGTCATTGGGGAGGGGTGAAAAACTTTAATATGACCAGTTTTAAAGTGAAACTTTTTAACAGTAATAGAGAAATTAACATAATTCATAATTTTAGACAGAAAAAAGTAGTAATGTGAAGTACTTTAGGTATCTTTTTAAATAGCATATGTAAGGACGTCACATGCCATCTTTGTGGGCTTTTCTCGAGTCTCATGTTTACAAGCCAAGTGTGCATGTACATCCATGGTAGTAGCTGGCTAAGCCTCTCCCTGATCAGACAGCAAAATGACTGAGAGCATATTCATTAAATTGAATCATTCATCTGAAGACGATCATTTGCCAAAATGATATTCTCTTGCTAGCAGTATGGTAAAGTGAGGAATTACATTTTCACGAAAAGTATTGCCATTTTGCTGTGTTTTTATTCTGTAGCCAGTAAATATGTATATACAAGGCAAACTTGAGAAGAGGAGAGTGGGGCTGCAGCTGAAGTGGAGTAAAAGAGAGGCTTTGCATCTTGTTTTGGTCTACAGCCAGTGCTTATTGCTCCTTAAAGGTCTGTATTTTTACTTCAAACTTAAATCTACGAAAACTGATTTAAAAAAAGCTGTTTAGGCATTATAACTATCAAAAATATGATTTAAGTGACATTTTGGAAAAAGCATGTAAAGCAAACCTATGTTCTTTCGACTCCAGTATCACCCCACATCCTAATAGTTTGTGATTTTTGATAACCCCCTTTTGTAAAGTTGGTTCCAAGATATAGGAGGAATAAGTTACAACTTTTAAGTTTTAAGTCTTACCAGCCAACCGATTTAAGCATGTTTTGTTATTGCCATGATTCAGATGACATGGCATGGTGATTTATGTTTAAAATAGGGAAATACAACTGTATTGTCTTTTTTTAAGTGCACAATATTTATTTACCTTATTTTAAGGGCAGAAAGACTCATTCCATTGATTTACCTCATATCCTTTGTTTACCTGATGAAATTTAGGGCAAATACAACTGTGATACTAGTGTAGCACAGGATGCTGGGTATGTAACAGAAGCTCTGAAGCGATGACAGAAGGTTGGTCCATTTATTGGTTTGACACAGACAAGGTAGGAAAAATTACATCAGTATTATATTTATGACGGTGACAGTTGCCATCATTTAATAATCATTGTGAGCTGGTGAAAAAAAGAACTGTTCATTTGATATTATATAAGATATCTATAAATATATTCTAAAAGTCAAATTAGCAGTATAACAGCAGATAGAGCAAAGAAATGTGAAATCATATGTATATCATATGTATAAAAAAAAAAAGCACAAGAAGCTGCGAAAATGAAGCAACATGCAATAAAAAAATTCAGATCTGGTTTTTAAAATTGTTTTAGAAATTATTAGTCCTGCAGTCCTTCAGGTAGATTTATTTTTTGTGCCACTTTTTACATTCTTTTTAATAAATTGGCATTATGAAAACGCCAAATTATCATGCTCCAGTATCTTTATAACTTTCTGCCACCACAAAGCAAAAAAAAAAAAAAATATATATATATATATATATATATATATATATATATATATATATATATATATATATATATATATATATATATATATATATATTGTGATGCACAACTGTGGCTTCACATTTGTTAAGGTTTATATTGCACCTAAAAGACATAATGTTGGGTATTTTAAATGGAAAATTGTACTTCTCTTTGTGATTTTGAAAGAACTCAGGTGACACATACATTCTAAATACAGATAACAAATACTGTGTACACATTAATAGCCACTGCACTGGATGCTGTAGGGCATGCATGCAACCAACTCTAGTAGACCTAGTAGAAATAGCAAATGCTAATTAACCACATTAAAAGTCAGCTACTGTTGTTAAGACGATTTTCAGCCCTTTTCAGTTAAAGTGTTTGTGACCTTTGTTTAGCTAATGCAAAAATGTAGATGGATAATCCCCAGGCCAGTGTGCCAGACCAATCTGAACAGATAGTGATTGTACCTAATTAAATAATTGTAAACTTTTATTATCCTATAGCAAAAACCAAATACAACTCATTTACTGTTTCTTTAGAGGTTGAATAAACCTAAAGTGAAATATTGCATACATTCAAACTTAACAAATTAGCTAAAACAACACATGTGGCAGAGCAGGGTTTAATAGCTTGGATTTCTAATCAGAAAAAGTAAAGGTTTGATCTTTCAATACTAATTAATTAAATATGAGAACTTGTTTATTTTTGTTGTCATTTCAATGTGGTTTGATTTTCATTATACATTAAATAGAGTATATTTTTTTCACTGCGTAATTCCTTTACAATTGAGATAGGTTTAAGTCTCCCACCATCATTTTCTCTACATGATATACTCGGTACATATTCCACAAAGGTGTGATTACAAATTCCACATGTGATCCAAAATTGCAGATGAGTAAAATTCCTGTTTGCAGACTCAACCTTTAGATGCAACGTTAGAAACTGGCATAATCAACATGAAGAAATGGAACAGAAAGGAAAGCAGAAGGAAATTTCAGGAGAGGGATTGAGAGGCCTGGCAGGAAAGAAAGCATAGAAAGGCCGGTGATAGGTTCATTCAGGGCTTTTTTTCACTACCAAGTGCAACCCTCCTCCGACCCTCCCTCTTTTTGCCCACCTTTCCTTTTCTTGTGACTGTTGTGAGTCTTGCCACTCTCACCCTCTCACCTCACACCCCGCTTTTACCCGACTTCTCCTCTCAGCCTCCAAATGCTAGTCTGTCCTCGTTCTTCCCTTCATCCTCTAGTTCCTACTTAACTATGCATCCTCGGGAGGCACCCTGCTGTCACGCCCCACCCCCACTATTTAATAAACCAGAAAGGACAAACATAAGTCCCCAAAAATTACCTCTAAAATCCCCTCCCTCTGTGTTAATATACAGCTCATATGTTATGAGTAAAGCTGAGCCTGACATTAAATATATCTCCTTAGCATTCTCTCTTTTTTCATTTTGATTCTCTCAGCTTGCTTTCCACATCGCTTCCTCTTATGATATTTACGAGATAATTAATATTGACAGGAAGCACATGGGCTTGCTCAGTGAGCTGTCCACTTTACAAGTATCCACACAAATCCATATTGACAAGTGGGTTCCAGTCTGAGCTGCCCTCCACCAGTTTTTGAGTTTATTTCTGTGTAAACAATTACTGCAAGCTGACAGGATTTAAACTAGCCTCAGGTGCAACGTTTGCACCTGCAGTTGATCTGATTTTGCTTCATTTAATTAAGATATTATTCTGTTGAGTGTTGGTGCCAGAGGCTGGAGGGAGTTTCAGGGGAAGTAAAGAGCTAAATGCAATTTTTTAATAAAAGATTTCTTCCTTTGCTGCTTTTTTTTTCTATATGCTTTTCACCTTTCACATATGTCGCTCATTTCAGCTTTAATCCCAGCATAACACCTTTTGTGCCTCTCGCTCTCACTCCTTCTTTCTCTCATGTTCCTTACACCTTTCTTACACTCTATCCCTCACCTCTCCTGTCTGTACAAGGCAACCCCTCCTCCACTTCCTCCTACCTGCCTTTCCTCCTGCCTCTCCTCTTTTTTTTTCACTTGCGGTCCTTTCCATAACCCAATAAACTCGACTCTTGAGAGCTCCCCTCACCTCTCCACCTCGCTGCACTGCTCTTCCTGCATCCACTGCTTGCCCCACGCCTCCTTGTCTCTGGCTGTTTCTTCCCCTGCAGCGAGCCCTCAACTAAGGCTGCCATGTGCAGGATGCTCCCTTGGTGAGGTCAGTGGCCTGGCTGTTTTTCTCTGTTCCTCCCCTTAGCAATTACCACTGGAGATCAAACAGCCTTTCAATTACTCTTTTGCAGCCTCCTAAAGGGTCAAACATAAATTCACATTCAGAATCTTTTATAGAAATATTGAAACTGTGATATTGGTCTAAAATGATGCATCATAGAGGAGCATTCGCTTTATCCTTCTTTTATTTTTCTTGATAATGAATGAAGCCTCAAATGCATTCGATACATAATGTGATTCTGAAACGAGTTCAAGGCTTATTCAAATGTACTGCAAACCCCCAATGAATGAACAAACCGCAGCTCTGTCAAAAGTTAATTAGATTATTACATCTATTTATTTTTTCGGGAAAAAAAACTTCATCTGACATTAATGTATGTTCCCCGCTTTGTGGGCTTTATCACAATTTAAATTGTAGATAAGCAAATGAAACACCTAATTAACTTATCTAAAAGCCGAAGTAATGTAAATGGAGATGCACAAATATAAAAAGGTTGACCCAATCTAGATATCGAAA